TCGTAGTTTTCAGAGTTGCCAAGATGCTTTAGAACATCCTGGTCATATGCGCTCAAAATTTCGAAGATGGCACAGCTGCATTTTTGGGCGCATGTCCCAGCCGTCAAGCAGACAGTGTCAGTTCTCTTTGAGCAACCACGGCAGAATGACCGTGCGCAGTTTGTACACTTCATCTTGAGAAGCCGTTCTAGACGCTCCTCTGAAAGATCTTTGACGGTGATGTTTTCGCCCTAGATTGCAGGTCAATCTATAAAGTCCAATATTATGAATCATAGTCGCACATTACCGTCATCGCCATATATCAGTGGCGAGGGAGAAGTGCACGACGGGCATATTTTCTCATCGGAAAAAATATCTGTCGAATTGTGCATTCTGAACTGCTCTGCAGCGAGTGCATTCATGATGAGTGTCTGCCCTGCGAAACACTCCTCGGCTAAGAACTCTGCCAAGGGAAAGGATACAATGTCCTTCTTTTCCACAGGATACCCGTTACTGGTGTGTGGTCCGATATACGACTTGAGCCTGCTTCTGTCGACGGAGACTGTCCGCCTGCAGGCACGAGCGAATACGGTGGTAGAGATGACGTGACTGATGGCCCGGGAGTACTTGGAGGGCTTTCCTTCAAGATCATAATGTCAGACCCAACATCGCTCTCTGCCATTGACACCCGCGTAGATAGAGTAGGCGCAGCATGGGTAACTTTGGGTTGTCGTTGTCTCGACGCGCTCAAATCATGCTCCGGGCCAGCCTGATATATGCATCAGGAAAGCAAAATCATCCAAACTGTACGCAATACCTGAATCGGGATAGGAGTCAGTGGATGATCGATAGGAACCCAACCAGAAGGTGGACTGGGGGTGCTACTCGAAGGGCGCCGTTGGAGATTCTATAGATATGCGTCAGATCTGAAGGGCTACTGCAAACAATGGATAACAACCTGTCTCGTAAGTGGAGATGATGATGGCTGGGTAACAGTAACCCAGTCAGAGGGCGGACTAGGTGTGCTAACAGATGATATATTGGTCCAATAATCCGAATCGCTATCGGTGTTATGAGGCGATGCGCCACTGCGATTTTGAGCACCATCAGAGGCAACTGCCAGTCTGGAAGTGGCCGTCCGGGGTGCTGGGTGCCATATGGCAGGCAAAGCTTGTGATCGTTGCGGAGACGAAGGTGCAGCCCTCCAAGCCGACGGTGTTCCATCCCCAATGGGCCTAGTCTATGCTCGGGATAAGTTCTGCTGGACGACAGGGTTAAAGATGACATACTCTAGACGGAGAGCTACTCAGATTGAATGTTGGTCGCGATGGCATGCGCGCGAGGCTAGTTGGGGTCGTGGCTCGGAATGGCGAAAAGCTTCGTGTGGGCGATTCCTGCAATGTTGGTGGGGCATTATTCGTAGGTCTAGTCTATTCTTGAGGTTAGATGCGTTTAGAAACACTAGTGGAAAGACACCGAACGTTGGAGAGGGCGCCACTAGCATTCAATACTGGGCGAGACGGTATGCGTTGACCGAGACTATTCGGCGTTGCGGTCCGAAAGGGCGAGAAGGTGCGTGTCGGCGCTTCTGGCATTGGCGTTTGGGATCTTTGTCTATCCGTGGTAGCCTCAACCGTTGGTCGGTGACGTGCTTGACTCATATCTTGTCCTCGAGAATAAGAGAGAGATTGTCTTCGAGGGCTAGCAGAAGTTGAAAGTACTGTCTCTCGAGCAGAGAAGTGGCCTGGCTGTATAGGTGTTTGTGCGTCCTTCGGTGCCTGAGATTAGAGCGTAGCCTTGGAATGAAAAGATTATTCTCACAACAGCGAAGTCACTTTCGGTAGGCGACCCTTCTGGGCTTCCTGGATCGCTCCTACTGCTTAATGAGCTGGCATCTGCGGCCGAAGAGGAAGACTCTGGAGACCATGGAATATGGAACGCAACACGGCGATCGAAACCTGGCCCTCGTCTGTAACCCGAATATTGGAGGATTGCTTGTGCCTCTACGTTATCAAAGTCGCGCGCAGACACGGTTGAACGAGTGGTCATAGAGGGGAAATCTGTGTCCGCCTCACGAGGATCTGGGACAATTCCAGCATTGCTAATCCTCCGAGAGTTCGAGTAGCCGGGCCTCCGATTCGTCGCTGAGGGTGTATATGGAAGAAAGAATGATTGTCCAACAGCATCAACGTTCCTCGCAGAAGCTCCCGGGTAATGCCTATCAGCGTAGTCGCTCCCTGCGCGCGCCTCCGGTAGCCGAGGACCGCTCTTGGATTCACTCTGTTTGCTCTCAGAATCCATTAGACGCTGGGCACGTGCAAAATTGTCTAGCTGGTACTGCTCTATAGACTGTTGGATGGCTGCCCGCAAGTCTTCTTCTTCCTCCGCAGCGAGAGCACTTTCAGTTTCATCGACTGCTAAAGTAGATGTAGAACTGACGTCGGGAGATATTATCGTGCTATCCGAGTCACCCCGAAGATAGGCGCTATAGTTTGGATCATCTGGCGAGCCTCCTCGTGGATACGCCGAAGTCATGGTAGCTGGATAGAATGTGGACGAAGTTGGGGATCACTCTGCCTGCTAACTGTTCAACGTGTACAGCGTTCGGAACCGACAACGAGGAGGGAGCGAGAGATGTGATGAGGATCAGATGAGAAGAATCACGGCACGATCACGGGAACTCGCGGTAGCTGTAAAGATGTGTGGGCCCTAGCAGAATTACACGGATAGAATATAGTGGGAAGATACCCCACCTTAGGATCTTGAGTGGCGACAGGTGTGAAGCCACAAATGATCAAGTCAGGTTTGATGGGAAAACATGATTATCAAATTAGAGCTGATTGTTGTGCCCTGTAGAGTTTTGTTGACTGAGAAGACAGAAGAATATAGCTGTAGCTGATGTTGTACGCGGTTCATGTCAGCATGAGACTGGAGGACGCCATTGAAATCCATTCAATCGACTCCTCGGGCGACAGAGATAGGTCATGTTTGAGGAAGGCGAGGAAGAGAGGACGGGTCAGGGTTCGCACGGGAAGGTATAAGAATAGTAAGAGAAACATGGGACTGGTATGGGTGAGCACTGAGGACGTCTGGCCTCAAATCGTACTACTGAAGGGGTGGGTGAAGTGCCGGCGGCAAATCCCTGAAACGGAAACTCCCACGACGCGCGTCCAACTCTTTCCTACTCCGTCACCAAATGTCGACACAATCCACCGCGCAGCTGTTGGTCGAGGCAGACTCGGCCTCCAAGACAGACATCAAACGCGCCGAGGCTTTGTACAGGCAGATCTTGTCGTCGTCGACCTCGACACCGAGCACATCATCGGAAGATGTCCAACAGCAAAAGGCGCAGACCTTGAGGGACCAGGAGACGGCACTGATCAATCTTGGACAGCTATACCGAGATCAAAAGTGACTTTCATTCGCATGCTTTTTGAATGAGCTAACACTTGTCGAAGGAATGCAAAAGGTGTCGCCGAGGTCATTACTTTATCGCGGTCGTTCATGTCATCAACGGCAAAGGCAAAGACTGCCAAGCTCAGTGCGCACCTTCATCTCTCCTCCATTCTTACGGTCTCTCAACGGGTAGCAGTTCGAACCCTCTTGGATTACTTCAATACCATTCCCAACAGCCAACAGATTCAAATGACCGTGTTGAACGATAACATAGACTGGGCGAAACGAGAGAAACGTATATTCTTGAAGCACAGCTTGGAGACAAGACTGGTTGGGCTGTATGTCCATTTGACTCTCAGATATTTCCTGTCCTGACCTTGATTCGCAGTCAACTTGAAGCCCTGCAATTCAAGCCTGCTCTCGTTATGATTGACTCGCTATTGACAGAATTGAAGCGTCTCGATGACAAGATGGTTTTAACCGAAGTTCATTTGCTTGAAAGTCGCGTGTATCGAGGGATCGGAAACCTTCCTAAAGCCAAGGTGGCGCTCATACTTGCGCGCGCAACCTCTTGCTCATACTTCGATATAGGCAGCCTTGACCTCTTCGCGTACAGCTGCCAATTCTATATACTGCCCACCGTTCTTGCAAGCCTCGCTGGATTTGCAATCCGGTACGTCTATCGCCCTGTTTACAGCTTTTTTAACATCATGCCCTAGGCATTCTACACGCGGAAGACAAGGACTACACGACTGCTTATTCTTACTTCTTTGAAGCATTCGAGCATTTGTCATCACAAGGCGAAGATGACGGCAAGGCTTTGGGCGCGCTCAAATACATGCTATTATGCAAGGTCATGCTCAACCTGGTCAGTCCCCATTTTGGGTTGCAGAGGCATGCCTCATTGTAAATGTAGCCCGAAGATGTGACATCATTGCTGTCCATCAAGCTTGCCGTCAAATACGCGCAGCTGAGGGAGGTCGAGAGCATTCGTGCAGTGGCGCGAGCTCATCAAGACCGAAACCTTGCTGATTTTCAGAAAGCCTTGAGAGATTATAGAGACGGTTCGTAATGTATAATCGACTTGTACTGTAACTTGACATCTCCTCAGAATTATCTTCCGACCCTACCATCAGGTCACACCTTGCTGCTCTCTATGATACACTGTTGGAACAAAATCTACTGCGCATCGTGGAGCCGTATTCAGTCGTTGAGCTAGAGTATGTCGCCGAGTGTGTGGGACAGGGCCGGCAAGCCGTTGAGGCGAAGTACATCTCCTCCGAAAGAAACTCGTTCATTCCCTGAATCATCGTTAGATTGTCACAGATGATCCTGGACAAAGTCTTTCACGGCGTCCTGGACCAAGGTCGCGGATGTCTGCTTGTATTCGACGAGCCTAAACCCGATGTAAGTTTCTGATCGATGCCATCTCCAGCACAACTTATGGATACTTTAGAACACGTACACCGCTGCTATTGAGACGCTTGAACAGGTTGGAAAGGTCGTGGAGTCGTTATATGCGAAGACTGTAAAAATAGCTTGAGATCATAGTTGAAGTATTTCCGGAATCGCTTCGTGACTTTGAGTTTAGGTCTGACATGTTGGCATGTTCCGCACTTAGCATGTCGGATATGGTGTAACGGCTAACATTAGCGCCTCTCATCAAAAACGCGCTAGCTCGGGGTTCGATTCCCCGTATCCGAAACTTATGCAGTGATTGTACTGACTTTTTGCAGCGAAGATTCATGAAAACGTCGCTCTGAAGGTCTGGATCCCTGAAATACGGTTGTAAATTTCTCACGTGACCAGCGCCACACTTAGTCTTGGAAGGCAGAAGTCCTTGAATAATGGAAACGTACTCCGATGTGCTATAGACTTATTATTCATAACAAACGATACGGCTGCTCATGTGGTATAGCGTCAACAATGGACATGATCGTAAGCAGCAGACCTCGTGCATGTATGAACTTTAGCTCTAACGTTCACTTCGGAACTGCGGCGTCCCGTTGATCAAGTACAACACCAATTGCCTTTGTGACGATGACTACCCGCTGTTTGATCGAGCTTCCTTTGTTCGCTCGACAGTACCATGGCCACGCGATGGCCACTCGCCATTGTATATTGATTGCTCCTGCTAAATGACACTCAGCTCTTACCCCCTTCTCCTCTAACCCGGTCATGGCAGAAAACTCCCACCGCGACTTATCCCGCAAACCGTCTCTGAAGACGTCGTTTAATACCTCTGGTATCCTTTTACCAAAAGCTTCTTCTGCAAACACCTCGATGGTCTCCCACAAGGCCACGATGTCGGCGATGTTGAAGGGTGCTAACACCTCAACGGCTATGACGAATGTTAGTTTGAATATGTCGACTATCGCGGAGACGGCAGAGGGTGAGGAAGCCGCTGGCCCAAAGCAAGTGGCCACAGACCTCCTCCTCGCGAATAGGCATGTCTCCTTTCATCGGCTCGGCAACTTATGCCAATTATCTGATACAGGTATTCTCGTATCGAGAAGATCGGAGAAGGCACATATGGTGTGGTGTACAAAGCGCGCGACGAAATGACAAATACGATAGTGGCGCTCAAGAAGATTCGATTGGAGTACGAGGACGAGGGTGTGCCGAGTACAGCTATACGGGAGATCAGTTTATTGAAAGAGTTGGGGAGAGCCAAAGGGCGGCATGTTGTTGGGTGGGTCTTTTCCCCTCCTTCACGTCGAATCAAAGCGCGTCCTGACGCGTAAATTGCAGTCTCCTCGACATTGTCCATGTTGAGCAGAAACTCTACCTCGTATGTGAATACCTGGACATGGACCTGAAGAAGTATATCGACAGGGCGAATAAGAACAGAACACCCATCACAATGAGTATGACCAAAGTAGGTTTCTGTACATCTTCTCTCTACCGTCTTGACACGTTTCCCAGCGATTCACTCACCATATGATTCTCGGTCTTTTGTTCTGTCACATGCGCCGCATCCTTCATCGCGACCTGAAGCCACAGAACCTCCTGATCGACCGACACAATAACCTCAAACTCGCCGACTTTGGACTCGCAAGAGCTTTTGGCGTGCCCATGAGAGCGTACACGCACGAGGTACAAGCCGTTTCTCCTCTCTTCTCTTAGGTTTGGCTGAACACGACTTCTAGGTAATAACCCTCTGGTACCGTCCACCCGAAATACTCTTGGGTACACGGCACTACTCCCCCGCCATCGACCTCTGGAGCGTTGGAACCATCTTTGCAGAGATGGCCGCCCATGGAATGCCCCTCTTTCCTGGCGACTCGGAGATTGACCAGATCTTCAAGATATTCCGGTAGGCATCGATGGTGTCTTCTACTTTTCTTCCTTTGATTAATGAAGACGATTGTAGAATCATGGGAACCCCAGACTCGGAGATATGGCCGGGCATCGAGACGCTGCCAGACTACAAGGATACATTCCCTCGTTGGGCCATACAGGATATTACACGCGTCGTACCACGATTGTGCTCTGATGGAGTGGATCTGTTGCATGTTCGTATTTTTCTAAAGTGCGTCGAGGAATGTGCTAATGCGGTAGTATCGGCAGCGTTTTCTTGAGTACAACCCCATCAAACGCATTTCTGCAAAGAGGGCATTGAAGCATCCGTATTTCTTCGAATACGGGTCGGATTCGGAGTAAATGATTTGTATCATCATTAGACATCTGCAGCATATCTGTTCATCATTGTACTTTGTATTTTCAACCAACTTGACTAAAGCCTTGCACATGAAATGAGGGTCCTTGAAAGCCCATGCCCGGGCTTCGCGGCTGAAAATTGTTCTCAAGGAGATGTAGTATAGGATAGATGATATACAACGGTAGATAGGAATACGTAGCTAGCATAGTGGACAGCAGATGATGGTAGAAAACTTGGACAGATCGTAAGGTATACATAAGCGAATGACAGATCTTGTGTAGATCTACTGAGCGCGTCAAACTGTTCGACGCGCGAGAGGCGGCTGCCCAGAGACGCGCTGTTAACAACGGTTGTTAGCCATTCACCTCGGAAACCAAATATCTGCTCACCTCCAACTCGAATTTGAGCAACGCAAAGCTCCTCTTCGTTACTGGGTGCGGTTTGCTCGCATCCGTCCACCAATTCCTCACAGTATAGAGTCCGTCATATCGGTAGCCCATTTTGGGCGCGTACTCGCTGCGTGGGTCGGGTCCACGCAAGACGCGCACAGGTTTCCCGGTCTTGGTAGACATCTACAGTACGCGTAAGAACGTATTTGGTTTGCAAGACAAAAAAAGAACCGACAATCAAACTCTTATTCATCGGATGATCCTCCGACTGGTCTTCGGTGGGATGCCCTGTGGGATTCCCAAAGTCGTCTGCCTGGCCGCCCGTACCGGTGTAGACAATTCTATCACCACGATCTTCGTCGTTGTAGCGGCCAGACAGACAGATGCTGTACGCGCCATACGGGCCAGGAGATATTCCAGCCTGGCTCTGGCGATGAACGCCTGCGGCAGAGGCACCTGTACTAATTGCCACTGTGAGCACGCGATAAAAAATAAAAAGTGCAACGACGTACCGATGTTCCCATACCTGACCGACGCGGGCAGTCTTGACGGCTCCATACACGTCCACAGTGGGACGCCGATTCTCAAACACGGAAGGATCATACAACGCTGCATTTTCCATCAGGGATTTGCGTCGCGCTTCCATTATGAGCGTGTGGTTGGGAATTTAGTAGATTTTGGGAGATGGTGGTTGAGGATACGGTGACACAGCAGGGATCCTGTTTGATAAGGCGCGAAAAAGACCACTATGGGAATGCAAAGGCAGCAGGTTCAAGAGCAAAGGTAGCAAACAGAATGGCAAGATGAAAGGAGTCGATTTCGCAGATGATTTTATGGCCGAAAGCTTTCGCGAATATTCGACGCCCGCGCTGGCCCTTCAGCTCCACTGAACTCAATATCGGATAGATTTCTTTGTTGACACGACATTGTGTACAGTAGTATCGGTGTTTCCGTATTTACCAAAGAAACACATAGGACGAAAGGTCAGCTTCACAAAGATGATAATATAAAGGGTCTGAGAAACTTTGTAGCATGAAGACTAAACATGTCATTGTATATCAATACACACTCTCAGGGAATCAAGTCCACATTATACAGATTGCAGATTGCCCACAGGAATTCCGTTCGGTCTAAGGAGAAGGAAGGAGAGGATGATGATAACAAGGGGTATCATGTCTCCGGGGTTCACTTGCGCGAAAACAGACGCAACACCCAATCTACATATGAGCCAGACGCAGGCTCTGCTGTCGCATAACCATTTTGGTTGTTGTGTTGCCAATTCCACAGATCCCGGCACATCGCTGTCAAATCCGCATCTGCTTTGAAACCGAGCTCTCGTTCGGCCAGTGCAGGATCGGCTGTCAAATTCGGGACGTCACCACGACTGTCGTTCACGTTAGCAATGAGGTGCGAACATCATGAACTATGAAGATTTACCGCCTTGCTACGACGCTGGTTTTATAGTCAGTGCCTGTCGCTACCTTCATGGCGTCCACGATCTGGCGTACGCTGAAGCCTTGCCCGCGGCCAAGGTTATATGCCTTGTAGCGCACATCATTCTGGTAGATCACATTCGGACTGGGAACAAGCGCCTCGAGGGCAAGAACATGCCCACAAGCAAGATCCATGACATGTATATAGTCGCGAACACACGTTCCATCACTAGGGTCCATTTAGCAAGGAATGAATAGTACGAGAATGGGAGTACCTACTCTGTGGGATAATCGTCTCCAAAAACATTGAGAACTGTTTCCTGCACGCGACCGACTGCCATTTGTGCGAGTAAAGGTAACAAATTTCCAGGTCGTCCACGGGGGTCCTCCCTATACGACCAGAGGGATGTGCGCCAGCGGGACTGTCGGTTTACATTCGTTTAGCAATATGGAGACTCGGATGGTCAATTGCTTACTTGAAGTACCGCAGAGAGATGCCCTGCCATTTATCAGGTTCGGCTTCATGTATGCATGAGATACTGGCAATGAACAAAAAATCGTGTACCTTTGCAAAGATCCTCAATAATCATCTCGCACATAACCTTAGTACGGCCATATGGGCTGTCCGCTTTCAGGCGAGTAGTCTCGGGGATAGGGACCTCGGGAGGGGTACCGTACACGGTAGCTGACGAGGAATACACTATCCGGGTACAGTCGAATTCTGACATCGTTTGGAGCAGAGACACAGTGGCGCTGACGTTGTTTTGGTAATAGGTCAAGGGCTTCTCTGATGATTCGCCAACAGCCTTGTAAGCCTACAAGTTGAACAGAGAAGTCGAATCATAGCTCCATATCAAAAAGGAGAAGCGTACTGCAAAGTGAATCACGCCCCATATTCCACCTCGACCATATTGGCGAAACACAGCGCGGGTAGCTTCCGAATCAGTCAAATCGCACTCGTGCACGTCAATCTTTGTAGATTCTATGTCCTGTGGGGATGCATCCGAAGGCAAATCGTCTCGTGAAAGGTTAGACACCGCGTCGAGAGCTTCGGGCAGCGAGTTGTGGTAGTTGTCTATTGATATGACTTTGTACCGGCGAGTTTTCTGGAGCGAGTATATGACATGAGTACCTGTAACCAACGGTCAGCCCAGGCTGATAGGTCAAAAGGAGAACCTGCCAATGTACCCCGACCCTCCAGTGACCAATACGTTCTAGAGT